TGTTAATATATATATAAAATAATAAAATGTTACAAATAAACAAGGGCATCCTGCCTGTATTGAGGATTTGGGACTATGGCCAATTCAGGAAAGCAAAAAGCCAAATCATTAATGTAGGTGGGGGGCACAGGGGACCCCTAACCCGTGGTCTGCACGGTCCCTCCTCCACAGCCCAAAGGAGAAGAAACAGGAAAATAATACACAGAAGGAGCTGCAGCCTTTTTAACCAGCAAACCTGGCACTTTTGGAGCAGGTGGTAAGGCGGCAGAGCCCCCCATCCATGTCCTCATCCCCTCCACTTCTCCCCGTCCATCCCTCACCCCTTTCTCCTCTTCCCCGTCCATCCCTCACCCCTTTCTCCTCTTCCCCGTCCATCCCTCACCCCTTTCTCCTCTTCCCCGTCCATCCCTCACCCCTTTCTCCTCTTCCCCGTCCATCCCTCACCCCTTTCTCCTCTTCCCCGTCCATCCCTCACCCCTTTCTCCTCTTCCCCGTCCATCCCTCACCCCTTTCTCCTCTTCCCCGTCCATCCCTCACCCCTTTCTCCTCTTCTCTCCGTCCATCCCTCACCCCCTTCTCCTCTTCCCGTCTCCTCTCCAGCTACAAGGATGCTTTCGAAGACTTCAAGGAGAAAAGCAAGAAGCACAGACACTACAAGCCAATTCTGATTGCAAATGTGAACAACTGCTGGAATTTTAGGTAAGGGCCCAAAGGAAAAGGCTTTGCTGCTTCCTCTGCAGGCAATGGATAATGGTGTGACAGAGGGGAGATGCTCCAGAGTGGGCAGAGGAAGGAGGTGCTGGAGACCTCTGAATTTCTCTCCCTGTCTCTTTTGAGAACAGATTATTCTGACCTGGCTGATGTTTCCTTGCAGAGACTACCTGGAGAAAAACATGGCAGAAAAGGACGACAGCAAAGCCAGCATCCTCAGCACCCTCAGTGACATTGAGAACACCGTTTTTGAGGTGCTGCTCCAGCAGCTCTTTGCCCAGCTGAAGGTACCGTAGCTGTGTCCAACACCTGCCCCATGACTGAGCCCGTGCCAGTACTGGGCACTTTCTCCATGCTCTTGGCTGCCCAAATCTCTGATTTAAATACAGTTGAGAAGGGCTATGGGACAGGTCACCTCTCAGCATCACCACCAGCACCCTGAGCTGTCCCAGCACTGGTGTGGGCAGCAGGAGCAGGGCAGGGATCATCCCCTGTGCTGGTG